CATGATCTACGGAACCATAGGTCTTCACTTTGGTCGGTCCATACACTTTGGTGGTTTGCTTGGGATCCACTGTTCGTTCTCCGAGGCTTTGCTTGCTGATCGAAGCCATGCAAGAAACACAACCACAGACAGCTTGCCCAAGCCACACTTGGATTTGCTTAAGGAGCCGAGGAGCCGGTAAGAAACCAACATAAAATATATTACCGTGCTAAGGCTGGATCGATTGGGACTGGCCTCTGAGGTGAGCAGTATCCCAGAACATGTACCAGGACACATAGATCGCGAAGAGGCTGCGCCCCCAAGTACCTCTGCGTTGAAGAGCGGCGCCAGAAGAGCACAGGCGGCTGAGACACGCGAGACCGAACGTTCGAAGGCGCGTTCGGCGCTTTCAGATCTCGCATGGCGAAAACGGACCCAGTCACCCATCAAATCAGGCTCCAAGACAGTCTGCCTGTTTGAGAATCAACCTGATTCCCGGTTTCTCCAAAACCTGCCACGCACTTCCCGAGTCCGGTCCAACCCAACGCGGCGTACGCGGGCTGTCGCCACGCTGGACAGTCGTGCGATCGCTGGACGGCACGGGCTGTCGCCACGACGGTCGCTTTTGGATTGCAACAAAACCCCACGACGTCAGATTTTTCAGTGTCACTCGCAAGGTCGTCTCAACACAAAGCGTTTCCGTGTTCTGTCATTAACAAAGGAAACGGGACAAACGCCCTCGAATCGGATGATCGGATGAGCCAGGTTTTGTCGATTTGGTTGCAGGTCCCAAACACTCGGGACTGCCATAGGACTGCCGCCCCAGGACGACCCCCCTTGGCACCACCCCAATGTGGCATAGATATGGCAGTCCCAGACAGGTCGTGTCTGGGAGTTGTGTCTTCGTTTCATGAGCGACATGATCAAGTGGAAAAGCAGGCACCTCCTCGCTTGAGGCACCACACCGGCAAGACCGCTGCGCTGAAGATCTCAGCTTCTGGCTCAGCTTCTGCGGAACCCGGAAGGGATCAACTCAATCTGAGTTTAACCCAAAACAACTCGATGTATGATGTATGATTGAAGTAGGTATACCGGTATACCGGTATACCGTATAACTTATAACATAATATATATATATATTATATGATTATGTGATATTATGTGCCTACATTGGCCTCCGAAACCACCATATTGTAGGGAAAAATGGCAGTCCCACGGTGCGCTTGGGTACGACATCCGTCCTTATTAGATCCACTTCCTAAGACGGTGGGGTGCATTTCAAGAGTCATTAGCACTCAAGAATCGAGCGAAGAGTCAAGGAATCGCACGTCGCACGCAAGTCAACTCCAGCAGCGAACGCGCTTGGTTTGGCGCGGATTTAGCGGAGACTCTGGGGGAAACACAAGCATACTCTGGGGGTACAGCTGTGGGGCATTAGGGCTCAAGGTTTTGACCCATCGCCCAGGCTCAAGAAACCAAGTCGCAAAGAAGTAGATGGAGATCACAGAACGCACCTGCAATGCGGTAATCCCACGTGCCCGTGGCAAGCGGCCAGGTCAGGGAATTGTCAGAGCATCAAGATGACCAATGCAATCTCCGCCAACAAGATGACCAATGCCTTGTTTTTGACGACACCTCTTGGTTACCCTGCCTCCCACGGAAGTGGAACATGGCCCATCATTAGAAGACGGTTCTTCTGACGGGCCATCTTCCACTCAACACCGACCACGTCACGCCATGAAAACCCACCTCACAGCGCTCGGAGTTGCTCCAGCCCAAGCGCAGGGGCGAGATGAGGAGCGCGATGTACGCAGCCAGTGGGTAGATAGGGCGGCCCAACAGGTCGCACCACCTGGGGTAAACCCACGCGCTCTTAGAGCGAGCGTGCGCGGTCGCGGGGCCCGTCTAGAGCGGAGAAAGATGTGCGGTTGCGTCTTGGACGCGTGGTGGACTTTATGACCTATATGGCTTCAATATCTGCATGGGTGGTGTATTTCAGTGAATTTGAGCCATGTTCTTTAATGTTACTTCCTAAAAGCCGATGTCCGTGTGTGATATTCTCTGAGGCAGAATAGAAGCACCCCATGTTCAGGTTGACAAGAAGATTGTGTGTTTCCCCGACCCAAAACTTCAAGTAGAATCACCATGCAGTCCGTTACAACATAGCCATGACTGCATGACTGACCTGTTGCGAGACTCCTTTAGGGGAATGGAAGCGCTGTTGGCCCACGTCAGGCGGACAGTTGTTTGTGAACCCCCATATCAAGCCAAGCAACATGTACATCAGCACGGCCGCGATACCATTGACCTCAGGGTGGCTGGGGAGAAGAACACCTGTGACAGTCATCAACTCTGGTCTTGTGTTTGGACTCTAAGTGGTAAGACCACTACTAGGACCACGGGTGATCTATATATTCACTTCCCTGAGAGAAAAACAACAAAAATGATCAAAAAGGATGGTCTGACGGGTTGATTTCACCCTATAGGGCTCCAACCATATCCTCAAGTTCGGTGGTTAGACCCCCCCTGGCACCCACCCCAACCATCTTCGAATCGGAGGTGGGCCAGGAGCCCTGGGGTCAGGGGTTCATGATCGTTTGAAGGACAGGACCAAAACCGAACCCCCAAAGACCGGTTCGATGGGGTCAGTGAGTCTCCGAAAAGACTTCGCACTCCACTGGAGTACTCCACTGAAGGCTCTCTACCGGTACTGCCGCTCTCGATCAGAACCCGAGGGCCCCCAGCGAGGAGCTTGCCGGAGGTGAGCTGCGGATCACTCGTCAGCTTCTCAGCCACGCGGGTCTCCACCTGTGCTCCGGCACCGTGCTCTGGCCACTTTTGGTTCGCTGGAGGCATCTTCGGTTGGAAATGGTTGGAAGACTGGTTGGAAGGAACACCCAGTACGCGTGAGGGTCGTGAGGGTCCTCCATCTAACGATGAACTGCAAAAATGCATGTGATGTGGTAGACTCGTAGACCCAAGGATTGTTGGATCTCCAACTGCCTATCGTCAGTGAAATACAGTGAAAGATCTGAGCTGCAAAAGCATGTAAGCACGGAAAGGGAAGATTGGCAGGAGTCAATTCATTTCTTGGGCTCGTTTGTGCCACCTGAGAGATCAAATGTGAATGATGTGAATCCCATGATCACCTGATCATGATCATCATCATCGTCGCCGTCATAATCTGTCCAGACTAGAGCTCCAAATACCTGATGAGAAGGGGGTGGGTATCTCAGGTATCCGATCATCCATGAGATCATGCTACTGATCATGCTATATATGCTACTTATCATGCTACTGATCATGCACTGTGAAACCATTGAAACCATCCTCCCAAACCATCCTCCCATGGAACACACTAAGCTCTTGTTCGGCTTCCGTCGGCTGAAGCCGCCTCTGCGCTCTTGCTGATCTGCAGCTGTGCTAAGACCGGATCCTGAACTCTCGAGATCCATCCAGATCCGGTGGACGTGGTGTCGAACAAGCGGCAAATAGCCGGTGCCAGCGGAAGGAAACGAAAAATAGAAGTAAAAAGAAGGAGAAGAAGAAGCATGTCGAATTTGGCAATTACATATCGTTTGAATGCTCTCTGCAAAAATCACGTTTGTTCCATGGGAGGGTTCTCACGAATGCCGCAACACGTGCCACGTTCAGGTCTACCTTGAGCGTCGCCGCATCGAACTTGCCCGTGCCGTCCTCGCAGCATGCAGCCAACGACCCGGAGACGGACAGTTCGGCCCGGAAATCCGGGACTGGCGCTGCTCGACACCGATGACGCCTGGTGAGAAACCTGGTGTACCCTGCTCTGGAGAGAAACAAATGCGCCATATCCTAGGACTTGGCCGATGCAGTAAAAGCGATCCTTCTTGGATCCCCTCTCAGCTGGGCTGGACGTCCGAAGTGGTTGGAACCCTAGATAGTATACGGCCAATTTCTGGCAGTCGGTCCAAATCAGCCCGAGTTTTGTCCGACTCAACTGTAGCTGTCAGGCTATTAGGTGGGACTTCTGGTGGCAAGTGGGTCAGTGTCCTGGCCACATGCATACTCCAGTCAGACGTGTCCTGGTCCTCTTCCATCACACGCAGCGGCCGAAACCCGACAGCACTTGTTTGGGAACGGCGACACAAATCGAAGGGCTTGCAAGCAAGATGTTTAAAAGGACTTTCTGGGTCACGTGCCAAAAGTGTGTATAGTTTTGTATAAGTACATTCATGTGCCTATAATACCAATAGAGATCTGTATGAGACTCTTTGACTTTGACTCCTATTTCGTCCAACTTGTCTCATGAAAGACTCAAGGCTGCACGCCGAGCCGATGCGGCACCATTCGGCGAGGGGGTGCACATACGATGACATACGATGATCATAGGATGACATCAGCGGCCACAGGATGCATCTCTTCACTCCAGGTAGGTCAGTGGTGGGTCATTGGGGTCATGAAAGGGTCCTCACTCATGAAAGGTGACCCTCAAGTGCCTGCGCATAGGCTACCGTTGACAGGATCCTAGGTTCCTATATGATCCTTTGTTTGTTTTTTAAAGTAGAACCATGAATCTTCATCCATCTTCATCCTATATACCCCAAATGATCAGAACAACTTCCTCCGACCCCCAACGGCTCAACATAGATGAACGTCTGGGACCTGGGACGTACAGAGGTGCCATGATGCAAGTCTAGTCACAGAATGAAGCCCTATAGTTCAGTCATGGGCACGCCAGGCTTCCAAGTCGCCGGCACTCTGAAATTACTGAACAAAACGTGCTGCAGTGTTGATCAGGCATTCTTTGTGGCTCAGGCTAAAAGAAAAGAATCTAACACGCATGGAAATCCCAATCTGCCAGGCCCATCTTCTTCGAGTCAAGTGCACCTGACAGTCCTTGTTCATGTACTTCTTCACATACTTGGCCAATCATACAGTATTTAACAGTCTTGATGTGTTTGGTGAGACACTGAAGAACCCTAGTTCAACTATCCCATAGTCCCATATGGTACCCCACGGGTCCACCCCTGGGCCGCCCCGGCAGCTGTGGCGTCGCCGCAGCCGCGACCTGGTCAGGAGGTGACTGCGGTGAGGTGACGACGCAGGCGAAGCGGTGGATGAGAGAGCCACCTGCAGAATTCCTGCAGGCTTGAAGAGGCATGAAGAGGCTTCGAATACCAGAAAGGAGTGAAATCCATGTGAAATACCATGAATCTGGAGGATCGTTTCAGCACCTAAACTGCTAAACTGCTAAGCTGAAGAGATCATCGGTCATACAGCAAGTACATGGAGAAGGCACACATATGATAGGTGTATGCTGTCATGATTCTCAAGTCATCCTCCGCTAGAACCACCACACAACAATCCCCCGAGTGACGTCATGGACACTCACACGATCAGATACCATGCATTGAGCCAAAACATCCGAGAACGTCCTAGCACCTTCTTCCAAGGGGCCACCTGGCTGGACGTCCCAGCCCACTCCTTACAGGTCTCCACACAGGACACCCCCTTTGAAGGTCCAGGTACCTCCAGTTCCATGTCAGACCCCCAGACCTTCGTGGCTGGCGGCACCGAAGCTTGGCACGTCGACATCCCAGGAAAGTCTCTGGCGAACTGCTTCACTCCACGCGCCACCGCCGCGTTGGGCGAAAACCGCGCCCTGGGACATGTTTTGATCAAGCGACATCCAGCAAACACACCAGCTATAGTGACACCTGAATCCCTCCATGTTCCCTGGAAAGGAGAGAATTGAACGCTTTTCACCCAACGGAATCCAGTGTGGCTTTGAGTGGTGCGCCCGTTGAACCCCCGACTAGTCGAAGACTTTAAGACTTTCAGAGGGACCATGTTCTCGGATGTTCTCGGAGTCTCGTGTTTCTTCCAACCCCAGACGCGACTGGCATGGGACTGGCAGTTCGGACTGCCGCCCCAGAAAGACCCCCAGGGTCAACCACCTCAACTGATCGGCAGTCCGTCCTGCCCCAAAGCAGGTCGTGTTCGAGTCGGTTCCGTCACTGCATCCGTTCGAGGTCGGTTCCGACCGTCGCCACGGCCTTGCTGAATCTGCGCTCGGAAACGATGAAAGGCAAAGGCCTCGGAAGACCACGCGATGCCGTCGAGAGAGCACGAGACACGAGACGAGGCCTGAGGTTTTGGGCCTTCCGTGAACGCCGACGTCCGCCGGAGATGTGGTGAACAAACATAACCGTTGGGGGGGGCTGGGATGGGCTTCTTTTCTTTGCATACCCCCTCGGAAAGCCAAGACATCTCAAGACTCAAACGGATCAAATCTGAAAGGGTGATTGATCAGAATGGCTTTGCCAAAAAAATGTGCCAGGAGTTCTGGGTGGGAGGAGGCAGCTCCCATTTTCCCATGTTCCCAATACAGGTGGTTTTCACTTCCACTTCCACACGGTTCTTTCAGGGTGTACAAGTTGGGGGGTAACATGTTGAAGGACATCTTCTGTTACAACCTTCGACCTCAGGGTCTCTGCCTACGGTGTCGCTCTATCGATGTTTGTTGCTGGTTGACCATGTTGACCAGCACCACCCAGTTTCGATGTTTGTTGGAAGGAATATACATCGTCAGTGGGGGTCTATCAACCACCCGACCTGGGTGTTGCCGCGTTGCTACCCTATGTAGGTTTGGAGGGTTCAAGTACCTTCTAGGGATGTAAAGATTGAGAACTACCGACCCCAAGCAAAAAAGTCTCCGAAGCCAGCACGATCAAACTCACAAGCAGAATCTTCCACACACATTCATGACAAACGACCGCCTCATTGTCCAACAAAATGAATCCTTATGAATCCTGACCACCACCAGCCTCATCCTCATCTCAGTTCTATCACATTCTGCTCCCACATAAAGGATACGACCACACTGACCACACTTATCTTGTGCAAGGAAAATGCTGGACCCAACTTACCCGATCCCCCTCCACCTGCAGTGCATGCCTTGATCTTCTTTCGAAGCCCCGAGGAGGACAAGGCTCGTTCCACCGCAGCTCGGGCCTCGCCCTGCGCGGCTCGAGCAGTGGGGAGGTGTTCGCTTCTGGGGTAGAGTGACTGGGACTGGCATACACCAGCGACCGGCGAGGAGTGGTTGAGGGGATTGAATGTGTGGCATTTATGGTATTTTTTGTCGGTCCAAGTAGCTGGGGGAGGGAGACTCGAAGACGAAGAGATCCTTTGACACCTCCGGCTTTCGTCGACTTCTCCTCCCTGAGGGAAGCTGCACGTTGAAGAAGGGGAAGAATTCCGGGTCCATGATCCTCCTGATGTACTTGGATCTTTAGATTCAATGTTACTACCCTCCCTCCAACAAACATGGAAGTGGAAAGCCCCCCGGTTTGTATAGGGAGATCAATTTCAACAAATTAATCTTATTATTGTAACATTGAAATCGGGGGCGCGGGGTTGCAATCTAGCATGTGGTTTGAGGTTTTATTTAATTTGTCGCAACATCCTCTATGTTGCCTTAGAGGAGATGCACCACATCAAGCTGGATCAATTTCTGACCTATTTCTCCTCGACATCACAGGAATCTTGATCTTCTGACACAAATTGATCAATCAATGCTCAGAGGAGACATTGTGTCTAACATCGCCATCAGGTCCATGCAGACCCTGAGCGAAACGAGGAATTCCAAAGACACATGACGTCATCACTGCATTGCTCCACGTGCCACATGCCCTTTCATATCTCAAATCGTCGGGATAAGTCGATCTATGCATCCTCACAGGACATCACAAGAGTCAAATTGACATTCTGGGTCACTTTCTGCTCTCATTCTTTTGAGCTTGGGTTCAGATCTGTTCATGCTGTCAGCCAGGTCAGCTGTCAGAGGTGAACATGAGAAACATCATTGCTTCTCAGCTAGGGATAACTGTTGAGCGATCTGCATCCTTATGGCAAAGGTCCAATTCTTCATTTAGTGGGTTTGCCAGTTGTTCTGCAAGCCTCAAACGAAACGTGCTGCTTCGACATGCAACGCAGGACCCGGGACAAACACATGCTTCATTCTGCCTCAGTTGTTGGAGAGATTGGCATCAACGGAGTCAGATTCAAGTTTCTGACCAATCGCTCTCGTGCATCCTCACAGGCAAGCAACATCAAGCAACTCTAAAGTAGGATGTATACATGGTTTTTACCTGGAGGTGCGTTTACTTGTGCCTCCCAAATGAGATGAGCAGTGGGGTGGGGAGGTGTCCCCATTGGTTCAAACAATTGGGTTGGGGGAGGCGGAGATTGGAGATCCCGTGCGCCAGGCTTTGACTTGCATCAGTATAGCATCTAAGCCAATGCAGCTGCATTTGGCACCCATGATAGTGGTCCCGCATTGCAGGCTATGGAATGGACTGGAATAGCTGCAGTTGCACGCATGGTCCATGTTCTTCGACCCTTCCAATGTCTCATTTTGGTCGCAACACGCTTCTCACCAAAACCAAGGAGATCCTATTTGGTTCTGGATGTAATGCCAAACATTACCAAACTTTGGTGAGGTCTGCATGTGTTTTGGAATTGGAACAAGTACAATCCAAAGTCATCCAGCTTTCTAGCACAACTCTCAAGTCAAATGCTCAAATGTCTTTCATGCCCCAAATTTGCACGAATTAGCCCTACAGTAGGAATTGTGCACATGTCCAAGAAGCACATCAATTGGAACATCTCAGAAGAGTCCCAACTCACTTGCTTCCACATGGTCAACGCAGGACCGAGGACAAACACATGCTTCATTCTGCCTCAATTTTTGGAGAGATTGGCATCAAAGGGGTCAGATTCAAGTTTCTGACCAATCACTCTCGTGCATCCTCACAGGCAAGCAACATCAAGCAACTCTAAAGTATGTATTGCAAAGCGCGGAATGAGCGCACACACGAACCTTTTGGGGCTCGCGGGAGGCTCAAGGCCTAGGTCCGGGTTTCGAACCGAGACATCACGGAAAGTGAACCTGTGACGTCCCACTTTGTTGTCCTGTCAGCTGTCAGTTCGTGAACGGTCAATCGCATGGTTCTTCAACTTTACATTCCTCAACATTCTGTGACCTTTCACGTTCTGGCATCTGGACATCGTGATGTGAGCTGCTTGCTCCTGATGTTGATATCAGGGCTTCAGCATTGATCTCATCAGCAAGCATCTGCATTTGTTGGCTGATGCTATTGATTTTTTCTTCATCTTTATACACGCATGTCGCTTCCCACATCACTGTCAGCAAAAAGTACTTCTTTTCTTTTCTTGTCATCTTTTCCCAGCTGTCCTGAGTCATGCCGATGTTCTTCCTTGAAGTTGCATCATGATCATTTCCGTGATCTTCCTCAAAACTTTCATCTTCGTCATGCGGGGCCAGCCGACCATCTGCTCCTGGCTCCACAAACAACTCCGGCACTGCGGGGTCTTCCAGCATGCTCATGACTTCTGACTCCGTTGAAGTCGCTGGGGCTTCTCTTCTGTCCTGCCTCTTCAACAGGATTGCTCGCTTCTCATCTGAACTCATGGATGGGGTTCGATGCCTTTTCTTTTGCCTCAGACGTTTCTCTAAGTCCGGAGCTCTTACTTCTTGTCGTTCTTGTTTGTATTCAATCCTGATCAACCTGTCAATGACTTTTGTGATCCTGAAATTGCTTTCTTCTGCAATGTCATCCATTTTCTGGTAGGTGAACCGGTTGCTGTCACCAATGAACGCTGAGACTTTCTTGAAATCCTCGTTGATGGCATGCTTCATGCGGTCCATCCCTGTCAACATGATGTTGTTTTCATTGAACATTTGTGACATACCTGCATGAATCAGCTCCTGGGTTTTCTTGCGTTCTTGGCCCAAAAGGGTAAAGATCGTTGATGTCTTTTCATCAAGTCTTTTCACCAGCAACACTATCATGATCACCATTCCACCCCACATCAACATCAAACATTCTGAATTCTGTGAAACTGTTGTCTTCAACCCGATCACGACCACCAGCATTGTTGTGAAAGAAACAAGTGCACCTTGTTTGTACAATGCAAGGTCCTCATACCACAAAAACCACTCCGTGTAGTAAGTTGTGTTGTACCAAAAGAGACCTGTCAGCACGATGATCACGCGCGCAAACATCAACTCCCATGGAAACTGGGGCAGGATCGTCCTCACGTCCGGCTCGGCATTTGTAGGGAGGAACTGCTGTGCAAATGAAATCATCAGTACGGACTTCGCACTTACTCCGGGACTTGTGGATGTATGGGTTGTCCTGTTGGGGCTTGCTGAACTTTCATTCTCCTCAAGTTCAATCGGCTTTTGGTTGATCATCTCGGCTTCTTCATGGCTGGTCACCTTTTCTGGCTTTGGCTTTTCTTCTGGGTTTTCCAACTTCCGGCTCCTCGATGTCTCTGGCAATCTTGGATCTGGGCCAAGTGTCCACTTGTTGGAGTAGAGCACATCGTTCAAATAAGCCAAGCCTTTTCGGTGAAGCGCTTTTGTCAATGCATCTGCCAGTTGTTGCTCTGATGGCACCCACTTGCATTCAACACCTTCTTGCAAGCTTTGTCGGATGATTGCTGCCTCCAAGGACAGTCTGCGATCAGAAAGCAACACACGCTCTGACTTCATGCAATCATATAGGGACCTGCAATCTGTCACCGTGACACCTGGCACGCGATGCAAATGCTCCTTGTAGTGACGCATGTCCAAATCTCCATGCAACACTTCCAAAATGGTCGCTCTCAACCAACTGAAGGCATCAAGAGCTTCTGAGCAGGAATACGCTTCGGCACTCAAGGTCGACCGCACCACCCTTTGTATCTTGGATGATGTCCAATGAACAAAATGGATGTGGTGTACCTTCGTCCGGTCCTTGATCAACTCTGGGGTTGAAATGCCAAGCCAATATCCCTTTTGACTCTTATGACCTGGAAGATTGTTGAAGGATGCATCATGGACTGCTACCACTGCAATGTCTTCCGGTTGCCAGGCCATGCCTGGCCTAAAAATGAGCTCCTCTTCTTGATGGTATTGTTTGACTTCTCTCACCAGCTTTGATGCTTCTTTGAGACTTGACATTCTCAAATCCTTGATCTCGCTGGCAAGCTTGCTGACCTGGAAACCAATGGAATACCCCATGATCCGGGCATACCACTGCAACTGACCAAGTAGTCCTCGAAATGCCTTGGTTTCGCTTGGGGTCAACTGTGCGTTGTTGTCTTTGCCACGCTCTCGGCTGATCTTGTAGGTGCTCATATTCTCCACATACTCCTGAGCATGAACGTGAATTGTCCCATCTTCATCCTGGTGATAGGATCTGCCGCAGAACTTCAAAGTTCCATCAGTCCTCCATTGCCCCCATTCAACTTCTTCCTGCATTTGTTCTTGCATCTTCTTACATTCTTCTGGGTATTTCTTTTCATCCCATGCAATGAGGACATCGTCAACATGTAAAGCCAAAATGGCTATCACTTCTCTTGACGCTGGGTCACGAAGCACGAAACCGGCAAGCTCGAATGTCAAGCTTTCCCAGCCCAAACGAAGGAGGATTCCCTTGATGGAATGATACCATTGCCTTGCGGCATCGTTCACGCCGTAGATGCATTTCTTGAGCTTGAGCAAAGCACCTGGCTGCACTCCTGGAATCTGGGCCTTTCCGAGATTCTTTGGAGGCTCAAAGTACAGCTCACGGTCAATCTTCAGCCCTTGCAAAAAGGCTCCTCTGACATCAGCTGCTGTCAACTTCATCAGCCTTGATGATGCCAGGCTGCAAATGACCTGAACCAACAATGTTGAGCACGTTGGCGAATCACGACGGAGGTTCTCGTCGTACTCTTCTTGAAAGCCTCTGCCAACGACCCTGCACTTCAGCACGAGCTCTTCCTTTTCATTTTCATCTCTCTTTTCATCATCCTTCTTTGTCCAAACGCCTCTGGAGGAAATCACTTTCTCCGGGCTTTCTTTCCGGATTTGTTTGCTTTCATCCGGAGGCACGATGTCGATGGCATCAAAGCGTTGCCATGTGCCAACTTCCTTCTCCACAGCCTTTTGCATAGCTTCCTCGATCTCTTTGTCTGTGAACTGTGGAAGCTGTGACTTCATCTTCTGAGGGTTGAGCTCCGTGTGCTTGTTCTTTTTGGTGTAGGTATCCATCCTTTCTGCGAGGAATGCCACACACATTGTTTTCTCCTCTGCGGACATCTCAACTCCACCAGATGAGTCCACCTCCTTGTCTTCAAGCCTTCGTCTCATCACCCCACGAATGGATTCTGGTACATCATCAAGTAGAAGATCACGTTTCCTTTTGTGTTCTTCATCCAAAATGGAACTTGATGGCATACTCGAAGGTTCATCTTGACTTCCTTGAGGAACAGATTGTTCCTCAACATTCTGTTGCTCTTTGGCCTCTTCAATCTTCTTCTTCCGTTTCCTTCTCTTCTTGCTTGAGCTTTCCTCGGGTTTCTTTGGTCTCCTCAGCCTCTTAATGTCATCTTGATCATCATCTGCTGCTTCTGTTGTCTCCTCTGCTTCACCTTCTTTCTTCCTTTTCTCATGTCTTGCAATTCTCTTCATCTCACGGACTTCACGGGATTCATCACCACTGGATGTGCATTCATCTTGGTATGTCCGTGCCATCTCATCTTCTTCTCCTTGAATAGGTCTTTCTGCTGCTGCACCGTCATCAACTGGAGGTTCTGTAGGTGAATAGTCTCCAGCTCTAGCATCTTCTTCATCATCGTCAAGATCAATGGGATCTTGAGGTTTTGAAAGGTCCAAAAATCCTTGTTGTCCACCTGGTCGTGCTGGTAGTGTATCATCATCCTCAAGCATCAACTCTTGTTCCTCTGCAATTGCTCTTCTCAAATTGTGAGGATGTGCCAAAATAGGCGAGCCGCGATGAATGAGCCAGTAGCCTTGAAGATCTTTGCCAATGACTCGAGCGGGTCCATGCCACTGCTTGTACACCTTGTGTTTCAAGCCTTTCCTCTTGTACATCACGAGGCTGTGCATGTCGAACGGACCTGGCTGTTGACGAGTCTGTGACAGCAATGCACGACGAAGCGATGCCGAATGGTTAGCTTTCACAAAAGCGTGTTCA